CTTGGACTGTGCTAAGGCATGTGAACGTGAATATGTAATACCAAATACAAAAAGAATAGGTTATGAGCTTAAGAGCAATTTCTGGAATAATTTCAACATTTTCATGTAATGCTTTTTCCCCTTTCTCATGGCAACGAATGAACTTAATAAACTGTGACCATTGTTCTTAATCAAGTCATACTGAAGTCTGTATACCTTCTCAGAAGAACCGTCAATCAAGAGAACAGTAATGCCTGTATTTCCTGGTTAAGAGTCTCTGCTTGATTATTTCTATTAAAGAACAAAGAGAGAAGGTTGCCCTTTGGTATGTTTGATGAAGTAAGAGAAGAGTAATTTTATTTCTTCACAGGGCTCACATTTATGCCCAGAAGAAAAAAGATTCAGATGCTTTTAAAAACTCTAGTCTGGTAATGCTACCGATTCTGATTGTGAGTCGTTGGCAAATCTCTGTATCTGCCACTAATGAGAAGACCCTCCTCTCTTAGGGTCCAGGATGTTAAAAAAAACAAAAAACAGAAAAATCCTACCCTGAGCAGAGAATTTGAAGTGGAATAGGATGTCTCAATTTGTCTGTTTTGGATAGAGATTAGAAGAAAAATAAACACCCTTTTGCTAATGTCTGTACCTTGGTATTCTGAAACATCAGGCTAATAGCCATTAAAATAATCTTAATATAAAGAAAATCCTAGGTCAGAGTAGAGGTACTCTCAGTTTTGACAGGCCCTATGACCTATGTGTACATGCATTATAAAAAATTTAAAAATAGATGTATATTAAATGAGATCAAAGGTATGATTTGGGGTTTTTTTCTGAGGGCAAATGTATAATTTTAAAAAATTATAATAGTATCCTTATCCCACGTTATTTTAAAATACCACTTTTCCAGATTATGAAAATGATGTTTACTCCAAAAATGCCTCTTCTTTTTCCTTATCTCCAATGATGTGTTTGGTTAAGTATAGTTCTAAAAAGTTCTAGACAGTAGTAATGAAAATTCGTGGAATCATTTTCAGTATTTTAAGTCTGGTGGAGTTCTCGTATCATTAAAAAAATGTACAGAAGCTGACAAAAATATTGGTTTGGGCTGGCATTATAATAACTTGGTGGTACGATGTGGATTATCACACTGTAGAAGTTCTGACAGCTATGTGCCTTTGTTAACAGAAATGCCATTACATAATGAGGATTATATTTGACGAGTAAAGCCATTCAAAACATTGTATATGGGGAGAAACCCTTTAAAGGGTTTCTTGGTGATGAAATATTTTTAAACTATCCTAAAATACCACTTAGCCTCCACTCCTCACACCCTTTCATTCCTCTGCTTGCAAGAAAATGTGTATGAAAAATGTATATGCCCTAAATGTCTCATGGGTCAAGAGTCCTCTAAATAATCACTGTCGATGTCATGGGACAGATCTTTTTACCAGGATGAGCAGTTACTCCGGATTATCCAGGCTCAAGTTTCAAGGAACAGAATGGATCAGTTGAAATACATTCCTACTTTGCACAAAAGATCTCAGCCCTCATAAACCAAGTGTATGAAAGATTACTGATCAATCTTAATGCCTGAAGGTCATTCCCAGAAGTGACAAATGCTTCCGTTGCAAAGCCAAGTCTCAAGACATGCTGATAGTTCATAGGAGTTTGATAGAAATTTAGTAAGACTCCAAAATGTAATCAGAGTTGATATTTTCAATTAGCTGACTCCCTCAACTTGAAAATTAGGGGCTTAATCAAGGTCTTGAGTAAGACCTTTTGTGGGGTAGACCATCCCTGTCCTTGACGAATAAAACCATCAATGCCATACGACTGTTCACCAGCCAACACAAATACCCAGGGAGAGAACACGTGAAGAAACTCCCTCTGTGCAACCTCCGCAATGATAGCAAATTCAATAAATTTCAGTCAGTTACAGTAAAACGATAAATGCCAACAATTTCAAGAGATGTTAAACCAGATGGCTTTCAAAGAAGTCTCTTAATTTCCCTGAAATTTAAAATATTTATGTACAGATATGCATTTATTTTTTCTGTGAAGAGAATCATTTTTGGTCCCATTCTCAAAAGGAGATAACCATTGGAACAGTATGAAAAAACTTGTCTGCAGTTACTTCTCACATTTTTAACTTGTGCTGGTCTTTGATCTTAGGCATTTTTTACTTGAAATTTCTGGATTTTAAGTAACAAGGTTGACAGGTTTTCAAACTACACTTCAGTTCCACTATCCTCCAGGATTATGCTACATCTCCCTGAATGGGTGCTGACAGAAGAGTAAAACCAGAGACGAAACTGCACTTAAAGGAAGCGCAACTCTCCAGAATGTCCAGCTTTACCCTGTAACCCAGCAACATGGCTGTATCCGCTCCTACAGTTCACAAAACCCCAACCAGTCCTAAAAGAACAGCCCATATTTTTACGGCAATACATTTTCTAATGACTTTATGAAAAAGGTAACATAGAAGTTGCATTGCTTTTGCTCAGAAAGTTGAGACCACAGTATATTATTGACAAGGCTGAAAGGTGTTTTTTTTTTCACATAATTACATTTCCTAACTTTGCTCAAAACTAGAACCAATCCACGTGGTATATATACATGTATTCGCACATTTAATTGCTGAAATTGAGCATACTGCGATGGACATCAAATCTTGGTAATGGGCAGTTGATTCGATTGTTCAGAGGTGCCCTTGTATTAAATTTTATGAAGACTGGCAGAGAGTGAATGAGGCTCTGCTTATCCACGCTAGCATCCTACCAGACACTTCAACTTTTAACAGTCCTAGCATTAAAGTGACTGAGACTATGGAACATGAACATGTCAACCAATGAAACTGCTAAGGCTGTTAGGATGAGTACCACACGTAACTTGGTCAAACCAATTCAGGAAGCAGTATTTATCAAGACATACAAGCTGGGCATGTTTTTAAGTCATAGGTGCCTCAGAATTCCATTTCTGCTCCTTCCTCTGCAGTAAATTCATCACATTCCTGTTTAAATTCTTAGGAATGAGACCTTGACACTAACTTCACAGTTCATCCAATCCCAAGTGCCTAGAGCACTTAGCCTTAGCATTATTTACTTCAAATTTAATTACTTAATGAACTGACAGACCCTGAAGACTGAATTAAATCTAGAGTCCAAAGCCCCTGGAGGAAAAACCAAGTGCATTCTCGCTCCCCCATCAATCCGATGTAAAACACCTCAGACAATAATGTCTAGACACTGTATTTTCTCAAAGTCGTACATATCAAGACTTGATCGAAGAGTTTGGATTTTGTTTAAAAAGCCTTTATTCATTTTTGATCAGGGAAAAGGACAATCTCAATGTCAACTTGTCACCTAATCATAAATTTAAATTTACAGGATTCACTACCCTAGACACTGCGCCTATTGACAACACAACTTAAATGAACTCCCTTCCGTTCCCTAAAGCTGTGTGTTAATAATTAATAAACACAATCCCCTGCAATAGCCAACACTGGTACTTGGCCTGGGTGTAAGGTCAAATAGCAAAACAGGAGCAAAAAACGCCAAGAGCATTGTAACTTCATAGCCCAGCAAGTACAAACATCAGTGGAACAAAGTTATAGGCACCAAACCAAAAAGTAAAAAAAGGCAGGTTCACACTGGTTGAGATAAGCTACTCTGCATGTGAGCATGTACGCCAATCCCAGCAGCTAACAGGGAAACAGGCTTCCCTAAATCCAGTAACTATGCTGAAGGCAAAATTCAAAGCTTGTATTTACCCAGGAGGTCCTCTTAAAGCCTAGATGTTTTTCAATGCACCAGAAGATCCACCGTAATGACTCAGTCACACTTGGATCAACATTAACACACCTAAGACTTAAGATACCTTTTCCCACTATTCCTTCCTATGTCTGAATGTGGAAATACATAACTACTCAGTTCATGCACTAATTGCATTAAAAATGAGATTTACTATCATGACTTTTTCTAACTTGCACAGCGTATAACAGTTAACTGTGATACAAACTTTTCCTAAGAATGCCCAAATAGAAAATACTTGCTTCAGTGTTGTGCTGGCTGTGACATATCAACAGAATACAACTACTTTAGCTATTCTGCCTCTACTTCAAACTTTAATCTAACTTCAATGGATAATCTCATACCTATCTGCCAAAACCTTGTTTTAAAACTACTTCCAACGCTCTTAAACCGTAGCTCCTACCACAGTTTTACAGAGCTTTTTGCTGTGTATATCTGCATTTTTACCAGAAGAATTAAAGTCATGGCGCTGTATTAGCTGAAGCTTTTTCTAGCAGACCACTGATTTAACTCTAAAGCCAAAATAATTAGCAACTAAAAATGGCTTTCCAGAGACAGGAAACAAAGCAAAAGGAGCTACTATCTTTGTGTTAAAAAGGTACTTTTCTTAAAAAATACAGTCCAGAAGACACATGGTCTACTAGAAAGCTTCCATTAATCACAATACTATGACAGTCTCATGACAATGTGTTCAGATATCCATAGGGGAAAGAATGCTATTCAAAGGTGTGATGGAAATACCAGTTAACAGGGAGAAGAAGCCTTAAAAGCACAAAATACATCTACCAATTGGGGAGCAGGGTGACAATGTGGCTGGCTACTTGTAAAGGACCACAATGTCTCCCTTTGGATCAATACTCCCTTAAAAATAAACTGTGCCTTAATTATTGCTTATTTAAATATTACATTTTTACAGAGCTATGTAGTACCTGACGCAGAAAAACAATCACATAAGGAAGCATTTATTTGAGGTGTAACATGAAATCATACAAATAAAATGTATATAAACACAAATCCACATTGAGTCATAACACAGATAGCAAAGGACAAAGTAAAAACAAAGAAAACTAATTGGCAGCTATATACAGTTGGACACAGTTGTGTCTTGTACACTAGAAAGTCTTTTACAAAATAATCATCTTAGATCAACAGAAGACCAATCTTCAATGTCGTCCTGCAAGATGGGTTACATTAGCATCTCCTCCTAAAAACAAAAACAAAATAGCAATTAGATCTGTGAAACTCTGACAAGCTTTTAAAGGTCCACTTTCATGAATTGCTTTAAGTCCTCACTTTATTCTTCAATAATTAAAGATCACATGCATATTTACTGGCAAAATACGGTTTGGGTAATTAATAAACTCACCCTGGAGTTCTGAAATATTAAATTCAAACCTATTCAGTAAAGAATCGGGGAATGCAATCTCCCCATATTCACAGGTTGAACTGTGCTAACTTAAGGTCTACTAGAAGCATCTCTAGTAAGCCAAGTAAAGTGCTACCACAAACAAATTTCTAATAGGCTTGTTTATTATATTACATGAACATAAATTGATTTCTGCATATGATCTTTAATTTATATCCCAGATTTAAAAGTTCTTGTTTTGGTTTGTAGATTTCACTATTAGCTATAAAAAGAAAAAGCAAGCATTAAATCTTAAAGAATGAACACTTAAAATGAGGCTCCACAATTGAAATACAACACTAAACAGAAGACCAAAATGATTAAGCTGTAAAAAGGCATTTATGTACTTTAACTCCTGTAAAAAACCATTTAAGTTAAGTTTAGACACTTAATCTCCAAAAAGATTAAAAAAGAAGCCAAAGTCTGAAGTTTTCCACTTTAATCTTTACGCTGGTACATGAAGTTGGAAGAGACCATACCACAGGACAGCGTTTTCTGGTGTATGCCTTGCGCTCTGCCCGCAACGTGCGACCCCCAGAGATAGACGTGGTCAGGGTGACACACGGCCTGCAATGAAGTTCCCGCTGGCGGGTACAAACAAGGTATAATGTCAGAGTTAGAAGACAACATTCTTGTTTTCCTTAAGTTGTACCCATTTCAGTACTTTACCTGTTAATAGTTCTAAAAAAGTTTAATTATTCCTCTAGACCACCTGGTACACAAAGCAAACAGAAAAACTCCTAAGTTTTTCTGTATTACTAAAGAAGGCGAGATAAGACTTTAAAGTTAAAGATCTATAGACACTTTAGGCAAAACAGGCTCATAAAGCAATTTAAAAAAAAATCAACAATTTAGTAAAAACGGGCTACACATTATTTTGTTTTTACTTATTTTTCATTTGTCTATTGATCTTTAAATTAAATTAAGATATTTCTACTGGTGTCTTGTACTTTTATACACACCTGTTTTCTCCAATGTCCTCCTTTAGTATGGCTGGTAATTGTTTTGGTGATTGCCACCCCCTCGAGATGCCTTGCCATAAGTGCTCTGTTGGCCTATTTTGAAAAGATAAAAAAAATTTCATTAACATAGTTTTCTATGAAATGGTTTATGGACATCAAAAAACTATAAAACACAAATCTTTGCATGCTAAACAAATATTAAATTAGGGTATTTTAACAGCCATAATTAGTCATAAATCACACATCCTAGGCACATTTATAACCACCATACTATCTCTGTATTAGTATAATTGCCCCATGACTACAACATACTCCAAAAGCTTAACTCGAAGCAATTAAATAAATGGAAAACCCATACACACACGAATATTTCAGAATGGGATTTTACAGCACTGAATTTTAGTATCATTGGCTTATGAAATTAAGTTAAATATTCTTACCACTGTAGTCTGCATATCCCTGTCCATATCCATAGTTCCCATAGTTATACCCAGTATAATCATATCCGCCATAGCCACTATAGTTTTGATCACCACCATAGGCACTATTGTAATTTCCATATCCTTGATCATAATAGTTATTAAATCCTTGGTTCCAGTTTTGGCCCTGACCTGAAACGATGCACAATGATTGTTAGGAAACAACTTCTAACTCCCAATCCTAACATAAGATGACACATTCCTATCCTTCACCCTGACTAAAAAGATAGAATGGACATATGTATATAGCTACTGCTTGAGAAAGTGTTTTTCCAGATATTATAAAAAGGGGCAGAAAGGCCAATTGTGCCGGTATCAAGCTTCCTAAATTATAATGTAAAAACCATTAAACTTCAGCCTACCTAGGCTGTCCTGCTTAAAACAAGGACTCCCACCTGAGAAAACCCGTCACACCATGGTGTATCATGTAATGGTATAATTTTTATCAAGGATGACATCAATTGTCAAAGTGCCCATGCTTTGAACAGGTTTTCAAAACTAGTAAACTCAAAGAAACTCCCCCTCCTCCCTTCCCACCAAGCTGAGCATTTTTCCATGTTGGAACGTTTTGTAGCTTAAATTCAGCTTTGCATTCTCCCGCGAGCTCGCTCATACACAGCAGCATACAGCTTAAACCACGGAGTCATTCCCCAACAAGTAAGTCTTACCTCGGCCTCTACCCCTAGTACCACCTCGTCCACTGGCTGCAGCACCTCTTCCCCCTTTTTGTTGTTGCTGTTGCTGCCTATATACTTCTTTGGGTTGTGCAACTTTGATTTCACACTATAAACACATTAAAAAACAGACAAATAGGATTTTTACTGAAGTCTAAAATTAAGCCATTCTAATCTTTTTAAACAGATTAAAAAATTTTCACTAACTCTCAAAATTTTCACTTAATATAATTAAATGGCTTTACCTTCCCAGAACCAATTTGATGGTATCTGCTTTCTAACAATTTCTTCACTGGCTCTTCATCTGTGTATGTGATAAAACAAAATCCTCTTCTTTCATTTGTTTTTGTATCCATGGGAAGTTCAATATTTTCAATCTGAAATCAAGACATACACTCAAAATCATCCAGCAATGGTACATGAAGCGATCACAGGGTTTTAGAATGCCACAGGTCTTTTTCAAGCTTCAACTTAGCATGTTACTCCGATCAGATGCCTTCTGTCTAAACACTAGTGCTTTATGATCAACATCAACCTAGAGTGATTCGCTGTGCATGTGAAGCACTGAAAGAAAAGTAAAACGTCCTTTATTTAGTAACACCGACCACATTAATGTATCCATGTTGTGGCCAAAATAAATTAAGGAATTGATTTCCATTATAGCACAGAAAGCAGCAATTAAGGTATGGTCACTAGAAAGGGCTTAAGCAGTAATTTAGTCCCTTCCTCACTTGAAACATGAATTTGTTCTATAAAAAACGGACCAGGGATGAACTTTAAAAAAAAAATATGAATGTAAATATAACCACACACCTCTCCAAAGGCTCCAAAATATTCTTTAATTTGTTCTTCGGAAGTATCTGGGCTCAATCCACCCACAAAAACCTTTTTAGGAGGCTCTTTCCCTTTTAAAGCTTTGGCCCTTTTGGGGTCTATCAATTTGCCATCCAGTTTGTGTTCTTTCAGTTCCAAAACCTAGAAGACAGATGTATTTAATCTGACGGCAATACACAACCAAACCCCAGAACAATTCGCAACAAATACACAGAAGCAGCTCAAACGTAGAACACGTTCCTACCTTATCAACACTAGCAGCATCTTTGAAAAGCACAAAGCCAAATCCTCTTGATCTTCCAGTGACTGGATCTGTCTTAATTGTGCAGTCTACAACTTCCCCAAATCGAGACAAATATTCAGTCAGATCTTTCTTGCTTGTATCCCAGCTCAAGCCTCCAATAAACATTTTACTAGAAATAAAAGTTGTTGGTTTTTTTTTTTTTAAAGCTTGGCAGTAACTTAAATAACTACTTCAGCCCTGCAACTAATGACACCGTGAAATAAATACAGAGGACTCTATCCCCCAAGCGCAACCGATCTAACCTATGTTTACCGCCACATATAAACAGATCGCAAAAATCCTGAAATTCCACCGAGGTTACTTATTTAAGCCCGTGAACAGATTGCTTTCCACGCTGCACAATGCAAAGCTTAAGCGAGAACAAAATAGGGTAACGGTTCCGCCCCGATTCTTTAGGGTCAGGAGGCCCGACTTCCTAAACTGGTCCTCCCAACTCATGCTCGTGCTCAGCTGTCAAGCCAACGTTCCACCTTAAGAACTCAGCACACTGTGTCCCGGGAATCCGGGGACCAGTCGTCTCCTGGGGTGCAAACCTCGAGTGTCTGAACCGCCCCCCGGAAAACCGCGCGAGCAGTAACGGAGACACAATGAAGAGGCGGCGGCAGCTGCAGCAAGCGGAGCAGCCAGGCCGGCCCCTCCCCCCGGGCCCCATGCGGCGCCTGCGCACTCGGGCCCCGGTCGCCGCCGCCCTCCTCCTCCTCCTGCAACCCCTCCGCCCTTCCCCCACCCTCCGCGGGCCTCTCGAGTCACCCCCTCCGTCCCTTAGTTTCTTCTTCCCTTCAAGCTGGCGGGACCCGGCAGGCACGCGGGGAATCGCCTCTGGGCCAGAAAGGGGACAGCGCGCGGCTCCCGAGGGACGAAGGGCGCGTGCGGCGCACGGGGGGAGAGGGGACAAGCGTGCGGTACCCGTCATCCTGCTGGTTCTTGCTCGCGTTGATCTTGGATCCCTCTGCGAACTCCTCTATGTTGCTGTACTCGTTCATGTCCTCCATGGCGGCGGCGCTGTCGGCAGGGGGGTGCTGGCGCGCGGTCCGGGTCGCGGCGGCAGCGGCGGCGGAGCGTTGTATGGAGCTGGATTTAAAATGGCGGCGGAAGAGATCCGGGCGCCGCCTGCGCCCTCCCTTTATAGCCGCCCCGCCCGCCAATCGGGAGGGCTGCTGGGCGGTGACGTGGCGCTGGGCCCGGCGCGCCCCCTGCCGGGCGGAGCTGGGAGCGAGCGAAGGGAGGAGCGGGGCGAGCTGCCGCGGCGCCCGCGGCCGCCAATGGGAGAGGCTGCGGGAGGCTAAAGTAGCGGGAGCGGAGGGGAACAATGGCGGCGGCACATGGGAAAGCCGGGGCGGGACCTCCATCGCGGCCCTCCCGGCGAGGTCGCGCGTGAGGGGACACGAGCTCGGGATGCGAGAAGCAGCAGCAGAGAAAGACGAAGGGGCGTTAAGTCCTGGGGCCAGAAATCCCGCGCGGCGCCGACGCAGGGCCACAGCCCCTCTTGCCTTGGAGCCTTTGTCTCTGGCGTCCGGTCCGGCCCACTCCCAGCACAGAGGCGTCAACCCCGCCTTTTTCCGCCCGCGGTCCCCCAGCGCGGAGCTGCTGCGTCGGCCGCTGCTATCGACCAGCGCCGCGGCCGGACTGCTCCGGAACAACGCGGACTGCGCCCGGCGCGGTGGCTGAGGCGGCGCGCCCGCCCGCCCGCCCGCGCACGCGTGTTTTGTCCCCGAGCTGGCTGGAACCAGCGGAGCAGGAAGCGGGCGCGCGAGCCGAGGGGGCGCGGCGGGCCTCCCTAGCGGGTCGGCCGAGACCGGGCCCGGCGCGGCCTCTTGAAGCGCTGGCAGCGGACGGGAGGCGGGGCGGGGGCCCGGTCGGATCACTGTCAATATGCAAAGCGGACGCAGTGGGCGGGCAGGGGCTGGGTGCGGTAGAGGGCAGGGGGCACTCACATCCCCGGCGCGCCACTCGCGGGGCTCCGTCGGCACGTGCCCCGGGCCTCTCCCGCTCGCTCTACCAGTCTGCGGAGGGCGCGCGCCCGCGCGCTCGGCTCCCGCGTTCGTTCTTTGTTCCCGCCCACGCAGAGCCCATTTTGACGGACGGCGTTCGCGGCCTGTGCTGGCCAATCGGCGCCGGCGCCTTTGCCTCCCCCGCCCCCTCGGAACCCGTCAGAGCCGCCCCCTCCCCCTGCCCACGTGGTCTCGGCCACTGCCCCGAACCGCTCACGAGTTCGCGGCTTCGGGGCGGCCGCTTGTCCGCTTCCAAGTGTGCGCCGGTGGCTTCTCCCGCAAGCGCTCCAGGTAGCGCGCGGTCGCCGCTCCGAGATCCTGCGGGGCTGTGGGGGTCCCAGGACCGCGCTTGGACGCGCCGCCGGCACCGCCCTCCGCCCTCCCCACCCGTAGGCCGCGGCCCCGTTGGCATCCGGAGGGGAGATGGTCGTGCTTTCGGTGCCCGCGGAAGTCACCGTGATCCTGTTAGATATCGAAGGTACCACAACCCCGATTGCTTTCGTGAAGGTGAGGGGCGGAAGGAAGCGGGGAAGTCGTTTGTGCTTAAAAACAGTTCAGATTATTTTGCGAGTGTTGCAGACTCGCCCTGGAGACGTGAGGCTTGGGAGAGGCGGTGCGGCCGGCTCCGCGTCTCCCGTGGGGGGAGGACGGGAATGCTCTTCCTCGAGCCCCGTCCTCTCCCTCCCCCGTCCTTGCTTTCGGTCGGGTGCAGACCGGGGAGCGGGGATGGGAGCGGTCGGCGGGGCGGGGTCCGGAGACGCGGGCGCCCCTCACCCCGCAGGTGTGCACCCTCGTGCGCAGGTGAGCGCCCTCTCTCTGTCCGGGCGGGCCTGGCGAGGCGGCGGCGGTTTAAATATGGTCCTTGAGGCTTTTAGTCTCCAAATGCAAAGACTGAAGTGTCAAGACGACTTTTCTGGAAGCCCTGGTGTCTTGGGCGACGACGGTTGCTCTTCGCCCCTTGCCGCCCCTGCTGTCGGTGGCTGAACTGAACTGCACGCTGTATTGTTTTACTTGACTAAGCTCTGTGGTCCGCAGCGCTGATTTTTTTTTTTTTTTAGCTATAGGACACTTACTAGATTCCATTCATTTTTCTCAGAAAACCACAGAAGCTTGATGCTCTTATCCAGAACATTCCTTCTAGGATGTCACGGTTAGCCGACACTTGTTGGCACCTAATTCACAAGCTTACAACTTTGCATTATAGCTGCGCCTTTCTTATACGTGTGTATATTCTACTCGTCTTTAAGAATAAGTGAATATCAAATGTTAGTATAATTTTTGGAAGAATTCCTCAGATCTCATCTCCTATTTATGTGGCGCCCAGAGGTTTAAGAATTCATTTCAGACGCAAGTTCATGTTAACTAGAGCTGCTTGCATAACAGCAATACTCGACAGAGAGAGAGAGAGAGAGAGATTGCAAAGTAGGAAAAAACCCAACTTCCCAGAAACTGAGAAGGCTGACTTTTAAATTCTATTTTAGTTTTATTTTAAAAAATTATCTGTGAGGAATGAGTTTTTTGATGTAGGATATAATGTAAAATCCACATACAGTTCTAGAACTCCAAGTATAGCAACCACTTACACATTTTTTTAGAACAATCCCAGTACTTTGACATCTTAGCAAAGGTTCAGAAGAAATCTAGTTTGGCATTTTTCCCAAGTTTTAAACACACCAGAGACCACTGCGACAAAAATCAGATTGCTCAAATGCTAGTAATTGAGTTGACTTCCCTTTTTTCTCGTTGATTGTGACAGAATAAGTGCTTTCTTGGTTTTCAGAGTAAAAAGGATTCCTCATTTTTGTGGTTTATAGTTTCTAGCTCACTAGCTCCGTTCTGGCTTTCCCCTGCTTTCTGCCGTCATCAGGAAACCAGGGCTAGTGACTGGAGGGGTAGTAATGTGGCATTAGAGATGCACCAGTCTTGGAAAGTGGATTTGGGGATAAGATACCTCATGCAAATCAACTTTGTAACAAAACAAAATGTCCCTCCCCCACCTTTTTTCCCCAGTGTGTCTTCTCCTAGGTGACATTATGAGCCACTTGTTGGAATCTTTGAGATCTGAGAACACAAATGGCTTGGTTGCCTAAATACATTTTTCTGATTTTAACACCAGACTACAAGCAAATTCAAGGCAGGCTGAAAAGAATGATTCAGGGATCTTGTTTAAAGGATAGTTTCTTGTGCTGTATTTTACAGTACTATCGGTTATTAATTGTTGATATCGTTTATTATAATTTAATCTATTGTAACTTACTGCACATGAATTTATCAAAACCAGTGTTCCTAAAATGTTTAGAAGAAAGGTCTGTGTGGATGTTGATGGTAATTATGCAAAAAAAGAATTCCATTAAATGCACTTCTGGGACATGCTAGTCTGGAATTCAGGTAGGTTTCTTTATTGCAAGACTTCTCAGAGCCTTTGTATCATACACACACTCACTCTTTGTGAATCTTCAAGAGGAGTGGCATTTCACAAATTTACTTGAACAAAAAACTTTCAGCAGAGTATCTCAAGGACTAATCTTTTGAGCACCTTTTTTTTTTAATTATTTATTTTTTTTTAGAGGCAAGATCTCGCTCTGTTGCTCAGACTGGAGTGCAGTGGCGTGATCATAGCTCACTATAATCTCTAACTCTTGGGTTCACCTCAGCCTCCCAAGTAGCTAGGATTATAGGCACATGTCACCATACCTGGCTAATTTTTATATTTTTTGTTGAGACAGAGTCTTGTCCAGACTGGTCTTGAATTCCTGGCCTCAAAGCATCCTCTGGCTTCAGCCTCCCAAAGTGCTGGGATCACAGGCATAAGCCACCGTGCCTGGCTATTTGAATACCTTTTGAACCTCTGAATATGGAGAGGTTGAGCATGGGAGTTGAAAAATGTCCTACTTTGAACTTTATTAGTCAGAGTAGGTGTGTGAATTTGTAGTCCTGCCTCCTGTGGGATGCTGGAAGGAAACATTGACTATATGTGCAAGATACTTGACTCA